GAAAGATTACATTATTACCGAGGGCCGAAGGTCCCTTAGAATAAACAAAAAGTTTTTTTAATGAGATATTTGAAATTAAAAATCACACTAAATTTTGTTTTTTTTTTTCATCCCTATAACTTATTAAAATAAACATTATAGAAATTTTCAGGGACTTTCAGCTCTCGGTAATAATGTATTGTTTCATTCTGCGTTTAATTTTTTCAAAAATATTTATTAGTTTTCTTAGGATTCGAAAAAATGAATGCATTTAAAAAACTTTGGCCCGAAATTTTGCTCCTACGCTCGTAACGATAAACTAGCACGACCCACCTCTACTTCTCGTTACTCGATCTTTTGACCAGACAACTATCTAGACTAGACGTTGCCAAATAAATTAGTGTATGAATATTTTTTAATTTGGCGTTATTGTATGCATGTTTAATTGTTTATTATTTCATATTGGGAAATTATTTTGATGTTTAGATTTTTAGTTCGGAAATCGTACTTAAAATACGAAACATTAATAAATTTTATTTATATAAAACGATTTCCGAAATAGAAATCAAAATGTTATATTACAATTATTGTAAAGAAAACTTGTGGCATATTCCAATAAAAAAAACAGTAACCTGCCATTTAAATCAATTTCGCCCAAATTTGATTATCTTGAGCATTTTATCTTCTTGATAGAACATGACATGTAGTCAAAGACAACAGGTCAAATAAAACCAATAAGTTTGGCAACGTTGAATTTCCCCTTTTTTAATATTTCCATTCGGCGATATAAAGGGCGTACCTAATATACCTCTCTCTTTTTAAACAGCTGTTTCTCACTCCATCTCACGTAAGGTCCATACCGACCATAAAATTTTTCCTACACTGTATATATATATATATATATATATATATATATATATATATATATACAGATTGAACGAAATAAATTCGGAACATAGGAATATAATGTATTTCGGCTCAATTCTGCTGTAGATGGTTGGCCAACAAAAGATTGTCAAATAATTATATTGTAACAATCCCATACTTTAGCGGGCTGCTGGATTCTGAACTCATAAAAATTGAAAGCTACACATAAATCTACGATTTTATTATGCTGTCAAACCAGTTATAGTCCAGGAAATGAAGCATTTCACCTCGCAATTTTTTCGTGCTGCGTGGATTGACTTGAAAGTTAACAGAAGGTAGGTATTAGCCTAAGGATCAAAATCTATATCGAACCAAAGTGCGCCAAAGCCTAGGGGGTGGTTGCCACCCCATATCCGGGGTGAAATTTTTTTTACGTTTTAACTACAGGTTTCGATTAAAAAAGTGATTCTAAACAAAAAATGTGCTATACATTTTTTTTAAAATGAAATTTTTCAAGTTATTCGCGATTGAAAGTAACAACTTTTAGACGAAAAAATCCACGGTTTTAATCGATTTTTCGCGAATAACTCGAAAATGGTGCATTTTATTAAAAAAATAATTGTAGAAAACAAATTTGTAGCTTTTAAAAAGACAAATACAATTCATTTTTTTAAATATTTTTGCGATATAATAGGAACCGAAATACGGCCTATCAATGTTCAGCGATTTTCTTCAAATGCCAAATTTGAAAGATTCAAAGTCAAATATCGGGAAAATGATGCATTTTTTAAAGAAAACTCACAAAACCTTTTTAAAGAGCATAAACAGACCTATCATAAAAAATGACTCTAGCTCAAAAATTGAGTGAGTTATGATAAAAATAAGGTCAATACCTTATTTTTTACGAGAAAATCGATGAAAACAACCCCCTAACCAACCCCATAATTAAAATCGATCTTCGCCCTTCTGCAATTCCCTTTGTACATGTATTGTTAATATGTCCAAGAAGTTTAACCCATTAAAAATGCTTAGTTTTAGAAAAAGTATAGCTTAAAGCGAGAAACGATTTACAATTTCATATTTTTTACCCTTCTTTTTTTAAATATGCCGAAAATACTGAATATATGAAAAAAATAAAAATTACCAAGCTAAAAATAGCTTTTTTAATGACTAAAATTATCCTTTATTTAGATTTATTGTACAATAAATATTTGGCGAGATATAACCGTTTAAAGAATCGATTTACGATCAAGCACCTTCTTTTTCGAGCCCATTAAACTTACCCCATTTAAAAACCAAGGGTTCCAAAAAGATTTATTCACAGATCCTTGTAGCTCTTAAAAACCTCTACAAATCATTTTTGAAGAAACACTCTATCGTTAAAAATTAAAGGAAATACGTCAAAAAAACCAGTTAATTTTTTTCCGGAAAATTTCATTAGCATAGTACAGTACATTTCGGATCATAATAATTTACAAAACCGGTATATTAGCTAGTGAGGCGTTATACATTCGAAATTTTAAGCGTTCTTATTTTGAAATCCTATACAACAGAATAAAACATCTGCTCATATGTCTATGGCTTGGCAATGAAAATATCAGAGCAACAGATTGGGGATGGTATTCCAAAGATGGTTTTTTATTACCCGTACGCATGAACAAACAACCTGCACACGATTAACTTTTAAAAATTATTTTTTGCCAATGCAAAAAAGGATGCGGCGTTTCATGTGGGTGCAGAAAAGTTGGTTTATACTGTAACTCTACTTGTTCTGGGTGCTCAGGTGAAGGGTGCAATAACAGTCCACCAATAATTGAAGAAGATGTGGATGACATAGATCACGATGAAGATGTAATTGATGACGAATAAAATTAATATTATAATTGTTTTAGCTATAAATGTAAATATTTTCAACTATTTATGTAAATGTAAAGAATATATGGTGCCTTTTTATGTTGATAAATTTTTTTGTATTTAATTCTACTTTTTTCAATTTATATCTTATAAATTAGTTTATAAAAACTGCAATGTTGGAAAGGGTGATTTTCAAAAGTTGAAAAGTTGCAAAATTTTGGCAAAAAATTGTTTTCACCTATAGCACTCATAACAATTGATTTTTAAGGGTTGAAAATGTATGAATTTTTATTTTAAAGTATAAAAAAATCACTATTTAACTAATCCAAACCAAATTTCACTCATCTTAAGATTTGTAATATTATTTTACAATTTTTGAAAATTAGTGGTAGTTTTCACCCCTAAAAACAATAAAGGTTCATCGGCATGACATGCCTAGTATAGTATGCCGATGTCAATCTCATCACAAACTATCAAGCATGTCATCACAAACTATAAAGCAGAGGGTGAGTTGAGCTTAATTCCAAATTTTTATGCAAATCGTTCCAAGGTGAAATCATTTTCTTCGAATTACTAATTTTTTTATATTAATCTATAATAAAGGTCGCTTTTTAAGGGTTAAAATATGATGGAACTTTATTCAAAAGCACGAAACTATATAAACCAAATTTTACCCATATTCAGGTTTATTATATTATTTTATAATTTTTGACAATTAGGGGTAGTTTTCACCCCTAAGAACAATTAGGGTTCGTCGACATGACATAAACTATAAAGCAGCGGGTGAATTGAGCTTAAATCCAAATTTTTATCCAAATCGATCCAAGGCGAAATCATTTTTTTAGAATTAGTAATTTTTTTTACATTAATCTCAAACAAAGGTTGTTTTTTAAGGGTTGAAATATGATGGAACTCTATTCAAAAGTATAAAATAATCATTATTTAACTAATTCAAATCAAATCTTACCCATATTCAGGTTTAATATGTTATTTTATAATTTTTGACAATTAGGGGTAGTTTTCACCCTAAAACCCTTCAGCGCACTTCGGTTCGGTTCGATTCGCACATATAGATTTTGATCCTTGGGCTATCACCTACCTTCTGTTAAAATTTCAACTGGATACATGCAGGATGAAAAAATTGCGAGGTTTTAACTTTTTTCGAGCTTCATTTCCTGAACTATTATCGCTTCCTTAGACAAACCCGTCTTACGCAAACAACATTGTTGCGAGATAGATAGTTGAACAATATTTTATACAATGTCTATGCCCAGGTATGGATTTATTTTTGTCCAAGTTTTATATCGGTCCACTATTTCAAATGAAGTTCAAACAGACATGTATTAAATTGTATGTTCCGTTTTAATTTGGTTCAATCTGTATATATATATATATATATATATATATATATATATATATATATATATATATATATATATATATATATATATATATATATATATATATATATATATATATATGAAAATCACTAGGTTCTCGGGAAGAACTGCGTTGAGAATTTAATGCTCGACGTTTTGGCACCCATTTTGGAGCCATTATCAAGAGGGATACGGTTCGGTTCGAGTTCGGGGTCTCAATCTGCCTACTCCCCTCACTCGAAACGTACCAGTATCGTATTCTGTATTATAAATACAAGAACTGTCTCTCAACACTGAGTCGCTATATATATATATATATATATATATATATATATATATATATATATATATATATATATATATTTATATATATATATTTATATATATATACAAAATTTTAATAGGGAGGGTAATCTTATTTTGGATGACATCACATATTGGAATTCAAGGTGATGAAGAAGCGGATAAGTGTGCAGGTGAAGCCGTCAACTCAGCTGACTCTATGATCGTCAAATATGTAATAACTACTGATGTTTCAAATGTTACCAAATCACAAATTCTACGTGAGTAGCAAAACCGGTGGCAATTTTCAGTGTCCAGTCTTCGAAATATTAAAACAAACATTAAACCTTGATGATGTTTTCCCACCAAAAGAAGAGATCAAGTCACAATAACCCTACTTAGATTAGGGGATACTAGTGCTAAAAACATAAGTTTTTAAATAAAAAAGATTCCAAACCGAAATGTGAGCAGTGTAACGTCAAGCTCTCGGTGAAACTGAAATTATTATAAACTGTCCAGTTTTCCTTCACAAATATGCTAAATGACTTAAATGTTATCAAAATCTGTAGGTTAGGTTGGCGTAAATTTATTTCTTTTATTTATTTTACGGTATTTGCTTAAAATGTATAAAATACTTACATTCCTTTGGCTTTTCCCAGTTGATTTTTGAACAAAGTACACTCCTAAAATTTTTCTCAGCCCGTGAACTTTCAGATTCACTGTAGATTCCGTTAAGCACTATTGTAGGTACATTGCGCAAAGGATTTTGGAAGCGGTTTGTAATGTCTGCATTGTCCTCGATGAATTTATCACCTAAAAAATAGCACTATAAATATTTATGAAACTGTAAACATGGATGTCCCGACATAGAGAAAAGTAGAGAAGTGAAAGGGACGTCTGTGGCCAAAACAAATAAATATATAGGTAAAATATATGATCAACATTTTAACAAATCGTATTGACAATACGAAACATACGATGGATGCCCCTTAGAATTTGAATCAACTAAGCAAACATTAATATTTTTGCAACATTATTGCATATCAAAATTTGCAACATTAATGAGAAACTTTATTAAATTAACTAAACTTTAAATTGATAAATTCCTAATTCCAAACAAATCCTCATCAGCTATAACAATTTAATTAAATCTTAATCTACTATTAAAGGATATCCACCCACTTTCATACAATTATAAAGTTGCTATTCGAAATTACGAGGAACATTTTGGAGCATTTTAGAGGTTACTACGTTCATGCACTACTCGGTGTCGTAGTTCTTCCAATGAAGCTAGAAAAGTATTATAAATCTTTTTTCTTAAATATTCTCATATAAAGAATTCCAGGATAGTTAAATCGGTGTTTTATAAAATGGATAGCAAGATCACCAATTTAACTTTCCTGGGCTTTTTCATATGGGGTTATTTAAATAGCAAGATTTATAATACCCTTATCACGTTTCAGCTCTTGTTTTAATATCACCAGTTTAACTCTCCTGGACTTCTTCATATGGGGTTACGTTAGTACTAATCTTACACATGTCTTATATAGTTGCTCTACATCTGATGGGGCTCGTGGCAATATTTAATTCATATTGACTCTGTGAAGTAGGCACTGGAGGTTGTCTTCATTTTATGCCATGATGCCATGCACTAGAGTATAATAGACCAGCATTTCTGTGTCTGAGTGACCTAAAGAAAGCGTTTGACAGATAAAACTAAGTTCCCCTAAATATTATAAAAACTATCGTAAATATCTACCAAAACAACAAAATGGAAGTCAGAATGGATTGACAACTTATAGAACCTCAATCCAGAGACCTGGACAAAGAAGTAAGGGATCAAGTACAAAAAGCAAAGAGACTGGCAGGATGCCTTAACACTATATGGCGAAACAGACATTGACATTGCAATAAAGTCAAGAATTTTTAAAGCCAGTGTAGACCAATAATGACACGTCTCAGAAACAAGACCCGACACAGCCACAACGCAAACGTTACTGGAAACGGTAGAGATCAGAGTACTGAGAATAATTACAGGAAATACGCTGAGAGTTCGAAAGAGAAGTGAAGACATTAGAAGAAAATGTAACGTACAGTGTATAAATGAATGGACACAGAATAGAAAAAAAGAATGAAATACCCTCATAAGCAGAATAAAGGAGACCCGTATCGTCAAAATAGCAAGAGATAAGTCACCAATCGGCAGAAGAATATCGGACGACCGCGCAAAAGATGAAGTGACAACCTTCCATAGAGGTATTAATTCTCCAATGAACAAACAGAATTGCTTATAAAGAGGAGGAAGAAGAAGAACTACATAACAATAACCGGCATATCTATGTTTCGTGGACCTTAAAAAGTCGTTTGACTGGGCTAAATTAAAGGACCTTATCCACTTATTGTACGCACTGGCGCACCCAGGGGTGGTTTTGGGAGTCAAACCCCACCCCAGTACGCGACGCTGTTCCAACACTGTTATTTACAAATTTTAATCTTTACCTCTTTTTTTTTTTTTTTTTTTTTTTTTTTTTTTTTTTTTTTTTTTTTTTTTTTTTAAATTTTAAGGACTTGAAATGGTGGAGGTTGCATAAAAAAATTTCGGTGCACAACCAAACCCCCCCTCTTCCAGAGGACAAAATTCTAGGTATAAATATCTAAAATATCTACCAAAATAACACAATAAGAGTAAAAGAACTAAAAAAGGATACCAAATTGGAGAAAAACAACTTAAAATAATCTGCTATCCAGACGACACAATACTACGCTCTCAAAGTGAAGATGATTTGTGGTTATAACAGTAAATTGACTAAAATGTAAATTGGAGCTGGAAGGTCAGATAATAGAACAAGTGATGGAGTTTAAATATCTAGTCATCACATTATCTAGCTACAGGAAGCTCGAAATTGAAGTGGAAGATCAAGTAAATAGAGCAAACAAAGTCGCAAGTTGCCTGAATAAAACCATATGGAGAAATAAAAATATCGGGAAAGAAATCAAAGGCAGAATTTACAAAATCAGACCAATAATGACATACGCGGCAGAAACACGACCTGACACAGAGAGTATAAAAAGTATGTTAAAAACAGCAGAGATGAAAACACTTTGAGATATGACAAATTAATGGTAAGACACTATGGGACAGAGCTAGAAGTACAGATATGGGACGTAGGTGAAGGTGGTGAAGATCAAGATCTGTGTAAGAAATATAAGAGTACAATGGAACGATCATATAAGCCGAATGACAACAATTAGAGTAGTAAAGACGGCAGACGGGAGACTTCTTCTTCTTCAGTGCCTTATCCGCTCCGGATGTTGGCGATCATGAAGGCTATCATGGTTTTGTTGACTGCTCTGCGAAACATCTCCGCTGAGGTCATCCCAAACCATTGTCGGAGATTTTTCAACCACGAGATACGACGGCGTCACGGTCCTCTTCTGCCAAATACTTTACCCTGCATAACGAATTGAAGAATTGGATATTTTTCTTCGTTCCGCATAACGTGGCCGAGGTACTCAAGCTTACGTTGTTTAATTAAATTAAGCACTTTTTTCTTTTGTCATGCGCTGTAGGACCTCAACGTTGGTGACATGGTTCACATAAGTATCTACATATTTTTAGTATCCTTCTGTATATCCACATCTCGAAGGCTTCGATTCGTTTTTCAGTGGCTTGCGTCAGTGTCCAGGCTTCAACTCCATATAGTAACACTGGAAGAACGTAGCACCTCACTATCCGCATCTTGGTTCCCAAACTGAGATCACTGCAGCACAGCAAGGATCTCAACTTAATAAATGTAGACGGTGCCATTTTATTTAGACGGGATACGGTTCCCCAATAATAGAAAGTCGATCAGTAGAAAGACCAAGAAAACGATGGAACGACAAGAAGAAGAAGAAGGAGAAGAAGAAGAAGAAGACCTCCTTCGATGCAGTTTACAAATTTCTTGTGAAGTAATATTGCGACTTCTGCCTGAGCTCGCTAAAAATATATATAGTTGAAGCAGCAGATAGAATCAATTCCAATAAATAGTCGAGTTCTGACACCGGTAGCATAACCAAATTCTTTTATAGGAAGTGTAGTTAGAGTAGGCACAGTTTCATACTGTGGAGTAGGTTTCAAAAATTTAGGCTGTTCGTAAGTGTGTGTGGATCGGATATTCACTGCGAAACCTATCGTTTCGTTCACCTAACGATATTTAGTTTAGTGTTAAACGGAGATCCTATAAGTCAATGAAAATTATTTTGTGTAATTTTATAATACAAGTAATAAAAGTATTTATGGAAAAATTATAATACTGACTTGTTTTTAGCTGATATTTTTTTGTAATTGATAAAAAATATTTACCTAATGCACTTGTGGTGCAGTTACGTATTTGGTCAACATCTAGAGGTGCACGTAAACACCGTTGTAAGGCATCATCAACTTGTTTCTTCTCGATACCTGTCGTCAAATTACCCATAAAGCAGCTAACGAAATTTAAATACTCCGCTTGATTTGAATTTGCGATCTGGGTGTCTACGCATGCTTGGATACGGTTGCCATAACATTCTTGGATACCATGATGACAATTGTATTGAGTTGTGCCATTTGCTAAATGGACTTGCTAAAATTAAAACTTCATAATTTTAAAAATAACTCTAGACATCGTTTTAGAATAGGTATTTCCATCTCAATATAACTTCCCGTTATATAAATATTTTTGACTGACAGGGAAATGATTATGTATATTGATAACTCATCTTTTTACAAACATAATCTCTCGAAAACAAACATAATCTCTCAAAAAATTATTTGTGTATATTTATTATACACATGACGACATTGTTTTATTGACCATACAATACAATGGCAATCGCTGTTACATGTTTCCACCTCTATATTCATTTCACAGTAGGTACGAATTGTCGTAATTGTCACATTGAGATTAAAAATTTCAAACGAAGTTCTGAAAAAATAAATAAATAATTAATAAAATGCCTATTACGTTGTATACCGTCCAAGAAAAAGTGCAACTTGTAACATGGTACTTTCAGGGTCATTCGATACGCGAAGTAATTGATTTATTTATTGTTGCCTTCGAAAATAGGGCCCGTCCGTGCTTGGCCTGAAATTAATCTCAAACGAAACTTTAATTCGACTGCACATCATCATTTTCCCATCAGAACCTTGATTTGGTCTGTCTATCGTATTGTAGATCTTTCTCTTGGTCTTCGGCCTTCTACCTTTCCTTCTACTGCCAATAGTTCAATGATCCCCGTTTTTCTAGCTATGTGACCGAAGTATTTTAGGTATGCTTGGTTTACTTTTTTAATAGCCTGTCTTGAATCTGAAGCTCTTTCATAATTGACAGGTTGGTTCTATGTTCTGTCCAGGATACGCGTAGAATTGTTCTACAGATCCACATTTCGTAGGCTTCGATTTTACTCCCATTGATTTTTTAGAGAGACCATATTTCAGTTGCGTATGTAGTAATGGGAAAAATAAGGGCGTTGGCCAAACTAAGCTGAGTATTCCTTTTTATTGTTCGGTTCTTTCATATTATAATATTAATTTATCTGTTGCAGTTTGGGCCATTGCTAGCCCACGCTTGATTGCTGAAGAGCAATCGCTTTTGGTGGTTATCAGGAAGAATGAGTATACAATATGTCTACCACTTCGAAATTGGCTACTTGGTGTATGTGCGGTAAATTATTATTTTCCGATGTTGATCGGAAGTCCGAATTTTTTGCTTATCTGGCTTAGCCGTTCGGTGGGGTAATCATTTCGACTTGATTCGCTGCTAGTACAAGTGTGTCATCTGCGTATCGCAGGTTACTATTTTTTCTGCCTCCTATAGTGGTTTCTCTATCTTATTCGCCTAATACTTTGCTCATTATATATTCAGAATATATATTGTATAATAATGCTGATAGTATGCAGCCATGTCTATTTTCCATTATACTTCAGATTCAGAGGGATCACCTTTTACTAAATCGAAAGAATTTGTGTAGTCTACGAAACAGAACAGCATTGGTATGTTGTGTTCCCTCGCTTTACCTTCTATCTAAAGATAGTCATTAAGCGCTTGAGTCCTGTGGTGGGCGGGCATTATCATCCATAAATACAAAATTTTTACCCACAGCTCCTCACCATAAGGCGAGGCATAAATATTTTGAAATTTAATTTAAATTTAAAATATTTTTAAATCCGTGTGATGCACCTTTTTCCTGTTAGAGTTTCATCAATAACCACCAATTCCGTGGGTTCACCTACCATAATACGTCCCAAAAAATAACACTGCCATCAGCGAAAGAAAGTGAGGAATGGGCATGTGCTAGGTGCGCAGGTTTTTGTTGGCTCTCGCTGAACACGAAATCGCCGGCTATCACTATTTAAACAGATTCTGGTCTCGTCTGAAAAAAGCACAAAATTTCAAAACTGTTGAGGCCCACTGTAGGCAGTGCAAAACATGTCTAGGTTGTAGCTTAGGAATTCTTATTGGTTGGCGACTCCCCAAACCTGACTCTAAAATTCGTCTTCCTATTGGAGCCAACAATACTATTACTCCTACAGCATGCCCAAATTCTCTTTGGAAAGCTGGTACAGACCTAGATGAATTACGAATGGAAATTCTAATATACCTATTCTGTTGCTTATTGATAACTCGGGGTCTACTAGAGCGAGCTCTATATCAAATTTGTCTCCAGCAACCTAGTTCATATCAGTAAGATATCACCCTGAAAAACAAATACCTACTCTTTCCGCTACGAACCGCTGTGAAAAGCTTTTTTTGACTGAAGCAATAATTCTTCCACGGTTTAAGTCAGAAATTACCTTACAATTCATTATAAATCACGTTTTCCCAAATTTTACCAGAATAAAATTTTCAAATGTTTACACACATTGTCAAAATCAGATAAATTAAATGAATATATAAAATATATAAATATTTTATAGTGAATTAGCAGGCATGCGGTCTTTAATTAACTACAAAATTATTTGTTTAAGTTTCGGTTGATAATCCAACCAGTTTTGCTATATATATATATATATATATATATATTATATATATATATAATATATATATATATCTATATATATATAATTTATCTACCGTAGCTTTTCCATAAGGTATTAGTTCTAGATTGACGTATCTTGACAAATTTCCCTTCATGGTAGGTGAAAGTTGATTTACAATAAACGCCTTGGCAAATGGACATAGTGATTCATAATATACTTGAACTTTCACCTAAAAGAAAACAAATATTAGTAATGTACTAACACTAACTACACTAAACATTATATTTAAAAATAATTTCTGGAGATAATGATATTACTAGATCACATCGACAGGTTTTCCGAAGACTACTATATTGTTTTCCGCTAGAACTTAAAATATGCCTAAGATACTCTTTATTATCAAATCTGTAAGTTATACTGTTTTAGTTAATTGTTGCACCAGAGAGTAAATAACCATTGCCGCATCGCCTTATAATAATGTTGGATAATCATATAATGTTTATTAGATTGCTTCCATCGGGAGTTCCATATAGTGTAACTCTAGGGGTAGTTTATCTCCTGCATGGGGTTGAATAACTCGAAATCACTGGATACTCATAATTAGTTTATTGGTTTCTTTAAGTACAATGATAGACAGAGGACATAAATTATGTATCCTCGATATGATATTGGCTTACTAATAATGATATTCTTTCTATTGATTTTATCTTTTAATATGGGTAACCACATCCTACTGAATTCTGCCGATAAATTTACCACAAAATTGGTTCCATTGAATTATTTTTCTCATATTCTTTCTTGTGAATGTTATGGGATCTCGTTCTACGTTATTCTGTTCCATTCGGTCTATTCTTGAAAACGCTTATTTATAAATGTTATTTTAATAAAATCAAAAATTATAAATATTTAATAGTTATTTTTTAATAAAACAAATGTTTTTCTTCTGAAAACGGATTTAATGATGCCCTTTTTAATAATAATGTGATTTAATTTATAATTTAATCGCTATATGCAGAAACATCACATGTCCAAAACACGAATTTTTCAGAAGATACAAAAAACAGTATATTGTAAACGAAAATAGATTTTCGGTAAATTTGATGGATAAAAAGGGTAAGTAAAGGTATTTTTTACCACCGCATAATAATGGTTTTAGTTTAATAAAAGTTGTAGTTTCTGTGATACATTTTTTAAGTGAACATATGAGCTTTCTGTGTAGCATTGATAAAATTAATAGATAAATTTAACTCTAATACCAATTTTTCCAGGCTGTCGTAGCTAAAATGTAGGTTTGAAGACGCCATCTATAAACTCGGCAGCAGAGCAGAGCAGTAGAATAAGCCTCCTTATTCCACTCTCGTAAATAAAATGAAAATTTTCTGATATAAAGTGTACTTTTGCATTGCGTGCTCTACTTCTGAAAGCAGTTTCTTCTGATATGCAGTTTTTCTTATATAAGGTGTGCCTCCAATCTTTCAAATTAATTAGATCTTCTTTTTTTACTTCTTTTACAGAAATTTTTTTTATGTTATTGCTAGTTATTATCATTTCAATTATTTGATGGACCGTAAAAATTGTATCGAATTCTCTCTATGTTTCTCTTTACAGTTACAAAATCTCTATCACAGGGGGGGAAAGGAATATCCTCTAACTGGAAAATAGTGTAAAATTTTCGAAAATCTAGCACTGTCCGTTAGAGAAAGGAGCATGCAAATGAGTGTATGATTTGTGACAATTTGTTTAAAATAAATTGGTTAAACAGTTTTTGACCATCACTTTCTTTGGTCAATGTGCATTTTTGGTATAAGAGGACTATTTCAAGTAAGATTTTGTAAAAATATGTAATGAGAATATTTTTTCCAGTCAGTGCACCCATACTACCTGGGCTATGTACCACACTCTCTACATCAGGGATGCTCAAACGGTCGATCGCGATCGACTGGTCGATCGCGAGTGCTTTTTGGGTAGATCTCGAGAAGAAAAAAATTTTAATAAGTAGGTAGGTACCTAACTAAATTACTGTCAGCAGAGTTAATCGTTTTTATTAATACTGAACTATACAAATACATAGAATGCTTGACTAAGCATCATTGCAATTCAAAGAAGTGGGGACAACAAAATACTGTCCACACAGCATATTTTATATTTACATATACATATTAACTAATTATTTTATTAATTCAATATTTATTATAATTATTAATCAAATTTGGGATGATATTCTATCAACTACAAAAATGTATTACGTAATAAAATTACACTGCTTGCGGCAAAAGGTGGCTTTATCAAAGGAACTCGCGGCACTTGTCAAAGAAAAGCCGTGTTGTTTCTAGACGAGAGACAGTACAGTCTAGTTTCGGGCGGCGCGTTTGACGGACACATTCGAGACTTTCGTTCACGCCGATATAAATGTTGCGCCTGCAGGAATTGGAGTTATTCTGAATTTAACTTAATAGCGATCCTACGTCGATACTTAAATAGTGGAAAATGAGGGCAGTGAAGAAATCTAAAACGTATCATTTTAATAAGGATTGGGAGGAAGAATTTTTCTTTTCTATGGTGAAGGATAAGTGCATTTGTGTTATTTGTCGTGCGTCAGTTGCAATACCTAAGCGTGGTAACTTAGAGAGGCATCATAAAACGGTTCATAAAAACTATGAAAAGATTTTCCGCCACAGAGTGAATTAAGAAAACGAAAAGTAAGTGATTTGATATCTTGTTTGAAAAAAGAACAATCCATGTTCACAAGACCAGCCAAACAATCAAAAGCGGCTACGATCGCGTCATTTAAAATATCTCATATTTTGGCGAAACACAAGAAACCATTTGAAGATGGATCGGTGGTGAAGGAAGCATTTATTGAAGCGGGTGAGACTTTATTTGGAGATTTTAAAAATAAAAGAGAAATCATGTCTGCTATTAAAGAACTTTAGTTATCTCGTCCGACTGTCACAAGGCGTATTGAAGTCATGAGTCAAGACATCGCAGATAAACTAAAACATGATATCGTGGAATATACATACTTTTCTTTACAGTTCGACGAATCCATTGATATGACAGACACTGCCCAGCTGTGTATTTTTATTCGGATGGTATTCAATGACATGTTGGCTAAGGAAGAATTTTTGACAATCATTCCTCTGAAGGGGAAGATCCGTGGCAAAGATATATATGACGTTTTCTTAAATTTTGTAAAAAACTACGAGCTACCAATATATAAATTAATGTGCATTACAACCGATGGAGCACCAGCAATGACTGGAAACAAAAACGGTTTTGTGGTATTGTGTCGAGCTAATGAAGAATTCCCTTCATTTTTTTCATTCCATTGCATTATACATCAACAAGTTTTGTGTTCAAAAGTTTTAAACACGGAGGAAATTATGGGCATTGCAACAAAAATTGTGAATTCCATCCGTGCACGTAGTTTGCAACGGCGCGGCGGCTCTTTCAGTTGCAGTTGGAAGATAGGGAGTCAGCTGAACACACTGATTTAGTTCTTCACACGGACGTCAGGTGGTTGAGTCGCGGAAAATTCCTAGAAAGGTTTCAAGAATTATTGACAGAAATAACAGCTTTTCTAGACGAAAGAGGTGATGACACTCAGATTTTGAAAAACGAAAAATGGCTAAATGATTTGGCATTTATGACTGACATCACAATGCACTTAAACACCGTTAACTTTGAGCTTCAAGTGAAAAACTATTATTGAGATGATTAGCGCAGTAAACGCATTCAAAAGTAAATTGCAACTTATGATAGATCAACTGAAAAGAAAGGATCTGAAACATTTTCCGTCTTTGAAAGCAAGGATTCCTCAGTTGAATGATGATACGTATGAGGCTGAATTATCAAATATTTTGGGACAATTCGAAATGCGTTTTTATGATTGCAGTAAATTGGAAAATATAGCATCATTTATGAGTTATCCTTTTTCATGTAAAAACATTGAGGAATTAGCTACTGAAATAGCAAGTCAGTTTAATATGAACTCATGTTTTGTTGAAAATGAGTTGGTGCAGATTATATCAGATATACATCTCAAAGCTACAGTATCTGATACAAATTTCTGGCGTTTTATATCTGAAGATAAATATCCGAATGTAAGGCAAATCGCCCTTCAACTGACGGCATTTTTTGGGTCAACATAGTTGTGCGAGTCTGCATTTTCTGAAATGAAGATAATTAAGTCAAAATATCGCAATCGATTAACTGACGATCATATGACATCATGCTTGCGATTAGCACTCAGTGGTTACGTACCATCTTATGAAAAGTGTGCTGAGGACATGCAGTGCCACGCTTCAACATCCAAAGCCACTCCTTAGTTAAGTTTAACACCATATGTAACTCTTTTGTTTTGTAACAACAAATAAACTCTCAATTTTGAATAACTACGAGTTTTTTCATTGATATTGTAGAGAAGAACTAAACCTAACCCAAACCTTGACTAAAATAATGTACCTATATTGTGCAGAAAGCTAATATCTATATATGCTACGGTACGCCCTACCTAGGTAGGTAGGGTGTATCGTGTATGTACGACAACCCTGCATCACACACACTTGCAGTCTCTCATAGTCGATCGTAAGTGGTCTAAAAATATTGAGGTAAATCGCCAGCAGTTCAAGTTTGAGCACCCCTGCTCTACATAGTAATTAGTAATTAAATAGACGCGTATTTAAAACATATTAAATACGTTATATTTACAGAAATAATACATATTATATAAATAAAGAAATCACGCGATATTAAAAAAGCGTTCAAACAGTTCAAAGATACAGAGTGGCCCAAGAGTCTGGAAACGGCCAATTATCTCGTAAATTAAAAGACATAATTATACAAAATTTGAGGTACACCTATTTTGGGATACGAAGATTCCATATTTGATATTTGCAATGTTGCCAGATTTGCCGTTTCTCTTATATTATTAGTAAATTGGTTTTTCAAATCATCACCCTGTATATTTACTCATTATTGGAATCTCCTTTTCAATACGAGTGAAACCATATGTAACACTTATGATTTTATGTAGTCTGGAAGGTCTTAAATACATAAAACAGAAGTCTGGCAACGCCTAATTGTCTCAATAAATTTTTTAATACTAACTATTTTTAACTACATTAAAAGGTAATAATTGATAGATTACAACATTTTTTAACACAATGGTTTCTTTATCAAGTGTTCAAAATGTCCTCCATTTGTGAGTTGACAGAACCCTAATCGATGGTAGAATGCGTCTACCACATTTTTCCATGATTGTCTAGAATTTATTCAAGATTCATCGATATTTCGTTGCCTTAGTTCTGCAAGACTTTCTGGTTTAGTTTTGTAAACTGAATTTTTCAAGTATCCTTAATAAAAATAATGTTTAGGATTGAAATCAGGTGAACGTGGAGACCATTCAATTCTACCTCGTCTACCGATCCATGGTCCTGGAAATATCGCTTCTAATTAACCCCGAGCATTTACCCCAAAATGAGCTGGAGCTCCATCTTGCCCATATCTGATTAAAATTGGCACCAAATAAGTTTATCAGTATAGGTACAATTTCATTTCTAAGTAACATTTCTTAACTATCTGCAGTTAAATTTCCTTCGATAAAAAATGACTCCATACATTTAATTTTTGTGGTCTTTGAATTTGGTTTTCATGCATCCAGTGTGGAGTTTACGTCACTTTAGTACCTTAAATTGTATCGATTTACACTTACACATAGTGTAAAGGTTGCTTCATCAAAAAAAACATATTCTGTTAACGAAATTTTTATCCTTTTCCATTTTATCCATCATTACCTCATTAACTCTAATCTACGATCGAAGTCATCTTCACTTAATTCTTGCAATAAGTTAATTTTGTATCGTTTAAAAATATTCCCATATAATACACGTAAGACTGAAGAACGACCTACATCATATACTTGTGCAACCCTACGTGAGGATGTATGTGGATCTTCAACAAAACTTTGCATTATATTTAGTTTTGTTGTAATTCATAACTCTTTTCGGTCTAACTGATCGATATCTATCGATCGGTAAATTGTAAATTGCTTGTCATAATTTTACAAAATTTGGTGTAAATGTTCGGCGTTATTTCAAAGAGGTATTTCCCGTACGATGGATTGGTAGACGAGGTAGAATTGAATGGCCTCCACGTTCACCTGATTTCAACCCTAAAGATTATTTTTATTGGGGATACTTGAAAAATTCAGTTTACAAAACTAAACCAGCAAGTTTTGCAGAAGAAAATTCGATGAATCTCGAATAATTTCTAGACAATCATAGAAAAATGTGGTAGACGCATTCTACCCTCGATTAGGGTACTGTCAACTCACATAGAGCACATTTTGACCACTTGATAAAGTAACCATTATGTTAAAAAATATTGTAATCTATCAATTGTTACATTTTAATGTAGTTAAAAATAGTTAGTATTAAAAATTCATTGAGACAATTAGGCGTTGCCAGACTTTATATTTTATGCATTTAAGATCTTCCAAACTACATAAAATCATGTGTTGTATATAATTGAACTCGTACTGAATAGGAGATTCCAATAATGACTGAATATACAGGGTGATGAATTTGAAAAACCAAAGTGACTAATAATATAAGAGAAACGGCAAATCTGGCTACATTGCAAATATTAAATATGGAATCTCCGTATCCCAAAATAGCTGTACCCTAAATTGTGTACAATTATAACTAGCAATTTACGAGATAATTGGCCGTTTCCAAACTTTTAGGCCACTCTGTATATTAATAAAAACTACGAGAATAAAGTCGAGATATCAGATGTACGAATTAAAGCCTCAAAAACAACAACTGAGAACCTTAATATAACTGATGAAAGCAGAAAACAGTGAGAAAGAAATCTACCAGAAGAAAATCGACTCATTAGAAAATAGAAAAATTAAATCAAAACCAAAGGAGGCAGAGGAAAAATGGCTGAATATAATACAAAGAAATATAACACTAATAGACGAGTAGGAACATTACATATAAATATTCACAATAAAATTATAGGGTTAAGATTAACGGTGAAGTATTCAACCGCATTAACATAGTTGGTTTAGACGAAAACAAGGCCTAACCTTGCATGGCGAGCTGCCTCAAATTTTATTATTCTAACCTTTAGGAGGAGGGGGAGTCAATAGTAAAGTAAATTTAAAATGGCGACTGAATCCAACCTTTGCGTTTGCCTTTAATTTAAAAATGAAAAAGGAGAACCGTTTTTGCTCAATATCTCCACTATTTTCAACATTTCAACAAAAATTGTTGATAAAAAAGAACTGAAATTGTTGCAAATGATCTCGCTTATTATTAACTTTATGTACATAAATAAAAACGAAGAGGATTATATTTTATACATATTTTATACAATTTTGATTTTTTTTTTATTTTTTTGCTGAAATCAATATTTAAGGTCTTACGTATACGGTAAAATTGTGAGCGTAAGACCTTGCAGGGATTGGTTTTATAGAAATTGTTTTTATTCAATATGTCAGCCTTTTTCAAGTTTTTGAAAAAATAGTACGCACTTAATTTTTGCAATTACAGCTTCCTACAACTTATTCTTTGCAATTTATTTTTTTCATGCGGTCGATATTTTCCGAGTTAAGGGGAAAAATAGTGACAAGTATAATCTGAATTATCTTAAATCATCTTAAATATTGAGATAGATAAAGAGTTCAAATTGGGAACAAATATTATTGGCATTCAAATATCAAGTATTAGATTTTACAGAACAAATAAAGCAATTATTGACCTCCATTAAAATATCAAGTAAAATATCTTTTAAATAATTAAATGAATCCCTCCTGGGAATAGATATAACTAGTTACCGAGATGTTGCAGAAGAAGTACGACAACAAAGCCTAAAAGCAAGTAAAGCGGCGGGATCTCTTAATGACAGAATCTGGAAGAACAAACAACTAAGACAAGACACAAAAACAAGAATCTATAAAGCAGCAAATAGACCTATATTAATATACGCGGCGGAGACAAGACCTGACACATCTAAAACGAGACGACTATTAGAAATAACAGAGATGAAAAGACTTCGACGAATATCAGGGAAAAGTCTGTTGGATAGTGAGATAAGCGAAAAATAAGATCATGCAATATAGAGGACATAAATGGATAGGTGACAAAATGTATACAGGAGTGGAACGAACGCATTAGTAGAATGGTAGAGGTAATATAGTACGAATAGCACGAGATAAGTCACCAAATGGAAGAAGAAGTATTGGCGGACCAAGAAAAAGATGGTGCGGCAATTTAAACAATTTAGGAGGTTTAGATTTAGGCTTATATTGAAGAAGAAACAAGCTTCAAAGTCCACATACAAGAAGGAAGAAGAAGAAAAAGGTGAATCCAAAAAGTCGATTTCAGGTCGCTCATAATCGGCATTTTAGAGGCCACAATGGGCTGAATGGGCTCTGAAATAGTTATAAACTGAGCCTAATTCTCTTCGAAAAATCAATTTCAGAGATGAGTTTTATTTTTGGATGAATGGGTATCCTTTAAAAAACAGATGTTAAATTGAAGACAAATGGGACAATCCAGATGAGATCCAAAAGCGTCCAATGCTTCCCGAAACTGTTTGGTATGAATTTTATCGCTACCTACATATATTTTTGAGACGAGTGATTTGAGGGCATGGTCATCTAACGTAGAGGTCATGTGATTTGACCCCCGTTAAACTGTTTCTAGTGAGGTTCTAACATATCTATGCGAATAAATCACAAACCACAGCGGTCCTCAAAGCCAACACAACTTATGCCATCGGTTAAAAATAGCCTCATTTTATTCCCTAGAGTAATGGAGTCATGAAAAATTGGACATTTCGGATGTGCATCACCCAACGAAGCTGTGGCCAACATTTGAACGATGTTATATTCCATTTATATAATTGTTACACACACTTTGTTTTATTTAAATGTAAAGATAGGAAGCATATAATTAAAGATTTATAAAACTAGTCCAAAGTAAAAATAAATATCTCTATATGTAATCAAAAAACTTTCCAGAACGGACGAAAAGTGTATCTAGTGAATGAATGGGTGATGAATGATGAGTTATGGATGATGGAGTTATGAGTATCAAATGAAAATGAATGAATAAATAAAAATGAAATGAAAAAATTAATATCGAAGTTTTCAATTAGTGTTTAGCGATTTTTAATATAAAAAACTGAAAGATACAGAATAATATGTTTTATGAAATAAAATTAGTATACTTACATTCTGATCTTTCTTTTCTTGGGCATTCGATGATGTTACCAATAACACCAGCAAAGCATATAGATATGAAGTAAGGAAATACATGTTACGTTAACTGATGTTTGTTTACAAATGCTGTTATAATGTTAATATTATTATAATTATCTGTTAATTATTAACAGTTTCGAACATATCACAACCGGAAATACAAAGATATAGTGTAGTCAAATACACATTTTTTGCAATAATTTTTGTAAATTTTTTTTTTAATATTGGATTTGAAATATTGATTGATCTTAGTCCTTTTCCATCATATTGATAGCACATTATGTATGCAAATCCTCAACAGGTCAAAAAACCATAGGCGTCACCCTATACTTGTCTTGAAATAAATAAAAAAAATTAATATTTTAAGATGCCGTCAACAATTCGTTATTTTTTAAAAAAAAATTCTGTAAAATAAGTTCCACTAATCTCACTATACCTTTTTTGTGCGTAAAAACGTCGGTATATATGCCACACGATTATTGTTAATTATACACGGGTGATTAACGAGAGAATTTAATGTTTCACGAAATAAATTAATGTAAACAGTAATTTAAAGGTGATTATTGTTTTCTATACAAGTTATCGTCTGACACAAAAAGAATACCTTCTTTGAACGATTACCTGGAATTACTGATAAGGCTTCACTAATGATAGTTTAAGTAGTTTTTATGCCACATTACAGCTTATGTCAATAATATAAATTAGAAATTGTTTGCATCTTCCATTTAGTTTGTAGATGTACATTGTTCATGTCTTACCTACCTACGTTTTTGGTGTCGATATTTTATGTTTTTGGTGTCGTGTCTTACCTACCTACGTTTTTGGTGTCGATATTTTGTTATTTGCATTTAAAAATGACGTCGATAACAGGTTTTATCCCGGTTAAGTGTAGTTTTAAAGGTGCCTTCAGTCTGAGAGAATATAATATTAAATGTACACGATGCACTTGTACATCAACGCCCTTTAAGTAATGTTCGTGAAATCGTTAACATGTGTTCAAATATGACAGGGGTTGGAGAAGCAACAATTTATAGATTCCTAAAAGAAAGAAAAGGAGGAACTGTTTCATCTCCCAAGAAGAGTGGAGGGGAGTAAACCCTTGGAAATTGAAAAAATACATAAAAACATGATAAGACGCAGCGTCCACTCATTTTTTTTTTAACAAAGAATTTCCAACATTGGACAAAATCCAAACATTAATTAGAGAAAACGAAGAGTTACCAATCATAAGCAACAAGAAATTATGGGGACTATATCGCAGTCTATAATCACAGTCGGTAAAACATATGGAAAGAGAGGGTTTTTATTTAAATATTTAGAATATTTAGGGATGTTAGGTAAAATATGTGCAATTAAAACTTAAAAATATGTTATATATACATCTCTGTTAGCCTAGCAATGTAAATTAATACAATTTAAAAAGATAATATATATGGAGGAGTATCACCGAGCCGCAAGCCCTTATCTCTTGCCGTACTGCTCCACCATAGGCCGATCAGACCCCAGCATATTTTAGTCTAAGATGCAGATTCATCTAGATTTTAAACTGCTGCGTTAGACTTTTTGTTTTCTGTACACCGAGCTGGGGCTCGATCCACATCCACTGAACCATTCGACAGTGAAGCGAATGAGAGGCAGCCGCACAGCCCGCTGAGCTATCTGACCGACAATATATATATATATATATATATATATATATATATATATATATATATATATATATATATATATATATAAAAGATACAACTTTGAACTATACAAAATACATCAGAATCCGGATAACATTAATTAAAATAAGACAACTGCGTTGAATGGAACATGTAGAAAGAATGGAAGAAGGCGAAATACCAAACAAAATAAGTAAACAAGTGCCAGTAAGACAAAGAATAAGAGGAAGACCGAAGCTGGTATACATAGAACAGTAAAAAAATTATTTAACAACCTTAAAAATAAAAAATTGGGGAAAAAAGCAAGAAAGAGATAAGAATGGAGAAAAAACCTGGAATCTTGTTTATGAGAATTATTTTTTAACTTGTTACTGTACTAAATGTGGATTCTCTATCTAACAAACTTCTGAATCAGCAGACAAAACCAAATGATTATTAAAATAGATTTTTGTGGAAGTGGTAATATCACACAAAACCAAAACAGACGTAATGTAACAAAATTACTCATAATTATATAAAAATTAAGGATTTGATTTATCGCAAAACTATCTATCGAAACTTTTTATACTAAAACATAATATGTTATCTTCTTGTTCTAAAACATTTTACATTTTAAATTATTTTATTTCATTCATACACTCAAAGATTAAAATCCAAGTACTGAAAATATCACTATCAAAATCAAGTAAATAATCACAATTAAGATTTAAAAGCATTCATAAAAAAAAGGATCAATTTTAGAACACATCCATTGACCAACTATCGACTCTGAAGAACTATGGAGTTATGATAATCAGAATTTATATCCTAGTATACATGAATTTCGGTTACTGTCACTGAATGACTTGGCAGTCATGGTTAAGTCGTTAGATAATAAGGAGTAACATTAATGAAATATTAAACTCCATATAATATTAAAAGAGTTTTTTGTAACTTGTGGTCACGTTATCTTATATTTTATAAATACTTCTCTTAGATCATCAAAAATTACAGATTTATTAAAAATCAATACAGCTGTTCCAATACCAAAGTTAATAATACTATTAAGACGGATGAATTTAGACCTATAAATATACTTCCGCCCATTGAGAAATTATTAGAATTGGTAGTATGTGATCAAGTCATGGATCACATTGATAAAATTGAAATATTAATGAATACTCAGCCATGTTTTCGTAAAAAGTATTGATGTGAAATTGCACTGCAACTTTCACTTTGTAAATTCAGGTCTGAATTGGACAATGATAATAAATATGCAGTAGTAGTATTTCTTGATTTAAAAAGAGCGTTTGAAACTATTGATCGTAATATACCTACTTCTCACTAAATTAGAAGGCTATGATATTGGAATAAATGTTCTTGAATGGTTTAAGGATTACTTATTGGATAGAAAGCAACAAGTGAGGATTGATGATATTACTTCGTCTGCAATTAGTGTTAATATTGGGGTACCTCAAGGTAGTGTCTTAGAACCCCTTTTGTTTATATTATATTTAAATGATGTAAACTTGTTTGTTAAATGGGATTTCTTTAATTTGTATGCAGATGACATCCCACTTGCATGTTTTGATTCAAACTTAGAAAATGTTGTATCTAAAATGAATTCATCATCGTAGTCTGTTAATAAATATTTAAAGATCAACAAACTAAAGTTAAATGTGTTAAAGACAAAGGCTATGATAATAACTAAATACAAATACTCAAATATTGATATGAATACTATTAATCTTCAAATTGACAATGAGAAAATAGAAATCATCACAACAATTAAGTACCTTTATTGTCTTTTAATGACCATTTTAATTACACATTAAAAAATATTTCTAAAAAATTATACTTTTTTTAAGAATATCTAAAAATTTGTCAACTGCAACTAAAATTACAGTTTTTAATGCAATCATTCAACCTCACTTCGATTTTTGCTCGTCAGTTATTTTTCTCTTCAATTTAAATCAATCGGCCCAGTTGCAAAAATTGCAAAATCATGGAATAAGAATCATTCTTGATGGAAACATATATACACCTATAACAACAATGCTTAGCATGCTGCAGTGGTTTTTAGTTCAACAAAGGGTCTTTTACCCTATAATGGTGTTCATTTATGAAATTTTAAATAATTTGGCCCCTGCTTTCTTTTGTAAGTTTATTACACGGAATTGTGATATTCACAATTACCCTACTCGAGGTAAGTGCAACTTACACATTGTGAAAACAAAAAGGACGGCTTCAAGAAACTCTTTATTGTTTAAGGGTGCGTTCATAACCGAGACCATGGCATCGTATCCTCGCCTAGAGCATATCCATGATACTATATAGTATCATGGAGCATAGCACTGACGGTGAACGCTCGCATTTAAAATAATGTATTTATGTTACCGAAAATCGATAAGATGATACCATCCCATGGTCGGAGCGAGGGTCAACACCTCGTTATGACCGCACGCTAAGGGTTTTGATCTTTTTAATTAGCTTCCTCAAACAGTTAAAAGTTGTTCTTTTATACAAATGTTTAAAAGTAAATTAATGGACCATATCAAAAGCACCAATAGTTAGGTAGTTGTTTTGTTGTCGTGTCTTATGTTATGTATTTTTTATATATATATATATATTTTTCAATAAGTATTTGATACTATATTTTAAGTGTAATTGTTATTTTTATCTTATATATGACTGTTATAAATTGATTATTAGGGCTTTCCCTATTTTTGAATACATAAACTTCTTCTTCTTCACTTGGTTACTTCTGTCGCTGTGCATATATCCCAGTCAAGGAAGAAAAAGAGCTGAAAAAATCGTATACAGGTATTAAAACAGGGGTTCGCAGCCCAAACAGCACAGTACGTTTTGAGTACGTAAAATTTTGGTACTGTACGTACATGATGTAAAATGTACGTTTTAAGTACGTACACTGGGGTACATACCAGCACGTACAGAAGAGCTAAAGCATATTTATTATGTTAGGTTATGTTAACCTAACCTAATTTATTTGGTTAGGAATTTTCCACCTCGAGTACAGTTTTGATGTGATAATTCCATCGAGCAAAAAGACAAAAGAGGGAATGTAAAGGTAGTGGGGGCAAACATATTGTTAGACAGGAAGTGCGATCTTTAGAGGCCACATTAAACAAGGAAAGAGAGTATCTCTCCTTATTTGACATCAAATTTAGTTGGGTTATGTTATTGTTTGTCTCAAATGTCGCATGAAATCTTATTTGTATTGAAGTTTTTTAACAATTGTGTCACATTTTAGACTCTTATCATTAATAATTAATTAAAACTTTCTCGTCTAAGACACATTCTGAAAAATATTATATATCTACTCTTGATAAGTGTCGGAAAATTTAAATTTGGTGCATTCGCATTTCCGGATATGTCCGCCATCAGAGGCCACTTTTTTGGTCTCCTTTTCATAAGGATTAG